TTCAACTTACTGCCAATCAACATAAAAAACTGTGAAACATTGGTTGTGTTTAAAAGAAGATTGAAAGAGTTTCTGTTACATAACTGTTTTTATAGTGTAGATGAGTATATGTCCCTTTAGTTTGTAAGACCTATTGACGATTCCTATACAATATGAAATGTAATTGTCTAAAAAGGAAAATAAAGTTTATCTATCTATCTATCTATCTATCTATCTATCTATCTATCTTAAATTAAAAAGTTGTTCAATTCAAAATGTCTATATGTGTGTCTGATGTCAATTTCAATAAATGTCAATCTGTCAATTATTTGTCATGTGTATCTCCCTCTGGTGCTTGATTTTGCTTCGTCTTATGGCCGCCAGCCCACATACGATGATCTCAATAAATTTTTGAGGAAAGGTTTCCACTGATATTAAAAACATTTTTCATAGGTTCACCAATAATGTCACTATTTGTTTTAAAACCATTAATAATTTGAAGAAACATATCAATAATACCAAAGACTCTATTCCTATTTCTGACAAATCAGGTGTCTACCAGTTATGTTGTTCTCACCCCGGCTGTTCTGCGAGTTATATTGGTCAAACCGGGAGAAAATTTTCACAAAGAGTTTCTGAGCATTCAAAAATCATCAATAAATTTCAAAATTCTAACTGGCCTGATGATATTGATTCTCAAAGTTCCTTTGCTAATCATGTTTTCAATTCCAAACATTCATTTAACGCAGAAATTGATTCTCACTTTTTACATGTTTGTTCAAAAAGCAGAAAACTTAATATTCTGCAAATCTTTGAAATCAATAAATTACTCAATAATCCTGATATCATATGCTTGAATGACCAAATTCAATTTGATTGCATTCCCTTGTTCAACTCATTAAATTTTGTTGATTCTTGATTATTTACAATACAATGGTTAGATACCAACTTGTGATATGTCATTAGAAAGGGAATTGAATGCTGAATTAAGCGAAAAGAAAAAAAATAGGGTTTCCATTTAAAATAAGAAAGTTGATGTTACTTCTGGTCAGACCGGAAGTTAACTTCGACATGTCAATATGCTCAAATTCTAGCTCTTATGTCATTATATCGACGCTCCAAATTTCACAAACCTACTTCATACAATAACTGAGATATTCCGTAGGCAATACTTCCGTAGCCACCCGGTATATATATATCCATTTTTTTATGTTCATAATTATATCTGAGAAAATTCCTTTTCTATCTTTTTCGACTTCTTAAAAAAAATAGCAAATTTTGCGAATCCTGTATCTTGGAAACCTAGACCTAGAATACTGAATTAGAGCTCAAACTGTCGGTAATTTTGCATACTTGAAAATAAGTAATAGTGACTTTTCTCGTCAGTATTTTTTGTTTTTTGCATAAAACTAAAAAAAAAGTTAATAAATTCAGTAGTTTGTCGGCAATAACTCGACCCGCGTACATTTTAGAGTGCTACAAATCTGCATAAATATCGTATAAGGGTGCCCAAACAATATATCAAGAATGCATGTTAACATAATTATGTCTGGCCTATAAACATCAGAAATGAACTTGATAACTGCTATAGTACAAATTACGAAGACTATAACCAGTCAGGGAAGTGTTGTCGGTCGAATTACGCAACACCCTATATACCACCGCTCGCTAATAGCTGCTAATCGCTTTATTTTCGAACCCTCTCACTATTGCAAAGTAAGCCAATCTGCGATCGCTTGCACACTGGCATTGTTCATTAAAAAAAAACGACGATTAATCCTTGCCAACTTCCTAAGTAATTTGAATTCATTCTAAACATATCGGCTAGCACCTTGTTGATATTTACATTGTGCAACCTGCTAAACGGGTACGGCAACAGCTTCCAATGAAAAAATATTGATAATAGAGTATTACTCCTTGGTAGGTATGCATTTTAATTAACAATATTCGAGAATAAGTCAGTCGAAACCGAGTTACCGTTAAACATTATGTTGCATCGGTGAATTATTATACAAAAAATGGAATTTTATTGGGGCGTTTCGAACAATCTCCGTAAATTTTGCCAGTGCAGAAGAAGGTAACTATTAGTCATGATTTCCGGTTACTATTTTGGTACCATATGCGAGTATTATCTTTTGAATTCATATCACGTGATTGAATAAGTTTATGGTGCAAGTAATGGCATAGTTAACAAGACCTTAAACATTTGTTGAAAATTGTGGATTCGTGAAATGTGAATGGCAGCGTAAGTAGAAGGCTATGAAAGAATGGGAAATTTGCTTAAAAGTGTATCGGAAATTGATTTGTATTTTGTGTTCCAATATGGCCACAGTATTTCATTTCGCGATGCACAAATTGAATCGAATTATTCCTGTGACCTTTCATCATTTCAACATGAAATATTATCGAGTTCATTCTCATTCAATTTTTATTTATACCTACCAAATTAGAATTATAGGCATGAAATCATTCAAGAATGCAATAAATTATTCATACTACGGCCATAGATTCGACTGCAATTATTGGCTGATTCTGATTTGAACTTCGATCATATAATATGAAATATCATAAATGGTAAATGGTAACTTGCAGTACGGGTCCAAGGCAGCAAATTATCTGACTCCCCAAATACTACGAGAAGGCATTCATATTATGTTTTTCTGCAACCGACAAAAAAGTCGTCCATATTTATACCAACATTAGCTCTTGAATTGACGTTTCTATCACTGACACAAACATAGGTATGTTGCTAGGCAACACTTTTAGTTCCTAGGAGCTAAAGTTACACTTTAGCTCCTAGGAACTAAAAAGTATGTACTAGGTCATCAAGAATAATGGTAGAGTGTTTTATTAGGATCAAAAGTGACACTTTGTTTGACAGGCGAATTTTGCATTTGGGAGGCGGAGCGTTTAGCAAAGCAAGAACAGGTTATCCATCCCGAGAATAACGAATGGAATACAGATAAAGCAAGTATGCGAATTTTGAAGGCTTCCCTGATCAAAACAAAAATACTCATCTGAGATGTTTATAATTCCTATACTCAACTATAATAAGGTGTATTTATATCTCCAGCATGGTTATGAAATGTCAAATCTGCCGAAATCGGAAACAAATCAGGTATGCGTCCCAACCCAAATAACCAACCGGAGCAATGTTGTTTATTCTTGATGACCTCTAGTACATCCTTTTTAGTTCCTAGGAGCTAAAGTTCAACTTTAGCTCTTAGGAACTAAATGTGTTGCCCAGCAACATACCTATTTTTGTGTCAGTAATAGAAACTTCAATTCAAGAGCTAATTTTGGTATTAAAATGGACGAGTTTTGTGTCAGTTCGCAGAAAAAATAATGAATGCTCCGCCAACAAGGGATGGCTCTGTTCATGACATTTTTCTGCAACCGACACAAAAGTCGTCCATTTTGATACCAGAATTAGTTCTTAAATTGACGTTTCTATTACTGACACAAAAATAGGTATGTTGCTAGGCAACATATTTAGTTCCTAGGAGCTAAAGTTGAATTTTAGTTCCTAGGAGCTAAAGTTGAACTTTAGCTCCTAGGAACTAAAAAGGACCTACTGGATGTCATCAAGAATAAACAACATTGTGACGGTTGGTTATTTGGGTTGAGACGCATACCTGATTTTTTTCCGATTTCAGCAGATTTGGCATTTCATACCCATGCTGGAGATATAAATACACCTTATTATAGTTTAGTATTGGAATTATAAACATCTCAGTTAAGTATTTTTGTTTTGATCATGGAAGCCTTCAAGATTCAAATACCTGCTTGATATGTATTTCATTCGTTATTCTCGGGATGGATAACTTGTTTTTGAATAATCACGGCAAGCAATAGTTTTTTTGTCTCAAACAACGATATTGTTTAGCTTCATTTGATTATCAAGTCAAACACAGTGTAGCATGGAGAGGAATAAGTAATCACTATTATCATTGTTGATATATGCTCACTAACCTAACATTTTCCACGTCTTGTTCCTATAGCTAGCACTGGCGCGGTATTTGCCATTAGAGCACCTCGTCCATACACAAATATGTCACTCTGTGGTTGTATTTATATTGAAACTACAATTCGAACATCCTAGAAAACCTAACCTGCTGTTAATGCAGGTAGAATATTCTCACCACATGGATTATTTGTCAATATTTGTTGCATTGCATACATATGGCACGGCATTGGTGGTTACTCCACACGTTAATTTGAGTTAATTGTTTCGGTTGCAGAAAAAATAGCATGTTTCATTCGGATCAAAAGTGACTTTGTTCGACTCGCAAATTTTGCTTTCGCTCGGCTTCGCTAAACGCTTCGCCTCGCAAATGCAAAATTCGCTTGTCAAACAAAGTGTCACTTTTGATCCTAATAAAACAATCTACTATTTTAATTTGCATTATTGAATGTGGTCAGTGATAAATGTATTAGATTTTTACTCATCATTTTTACTGTCGCCAAAAATACTTATGACAAAATATTACTCATATTGGTCAAAGTTGAGAAAAAATATATGTGTCGTAATTGAACTCATACCAGGAAACTGATGTAATGACATCATAGAATTATTGTTCCTTAGAAACATACCAATATTTTGACATACTGAACAAATTTTGTGGAGACAAATAGTTTGCTATCTTTTTCCGTTGGAAAACGGTGAGCAAGTTTATTTGAAAAGGAATTTCAAAATCTTTACGATTCAAAAAAGCCCTTGAAAACAAAAAGTAATGTTGCGGAAAAATTATTTTCAAATTGGAGTTATTTCAAATATGATTTGAACAAATCACTAGTAATCGATGAAAAATCTCGATAAGCAAAAATGATGGAAAGAGAAGAATGAACGATAAGAGATTTTAGAGAAAAAAAAGCTCAAATTTTGTCTTCATAAAAATCGCTCAGGAAAATTATCTCGTAGTATGTAGTATATGTATCACATTTTCTCGAATAATTGATTTCATAGTCTTACATATGATGGCAATTTTTCATTCTGTAATTCAATACATAATTTTTTGCAGGACTCCAGAAATTCGGAAAATACCTGCTAGAGTCAGCGAAGAAGTGGTAAGTCAAAAAAAATTTTCATTATCATGATAACTAAAAATTAACTGTTTATCGCTCACTTCAAACTATTGAATCAATTAAGAAACATATGGAAAATTAATTAGAGATTGCGATGGACTCAAATGAGTTCATGAAGTTTTTTACGAATGTAGATAAACATATGGCAAGCTGACTTAAAATAAGGCTTTTAACAGTATTTCCTGGGAAAAAAAGGTACTTGGAAACATACCAGCGCCATTCGGATGCCACAGATACTCCACATGATTTGAAAATCGTATTCCTAACATTCTATAATTTTTTTCTTCATTTGAGTATTCAAGTATGTTTTCGATATCGGATAATCAGATAAATCAAATGTTTCATGAATTATTCATGTAAAAAAAAATTTATGCCTTCAGGTTTTTTGTTATTAAGATTTTAAGATAAACGATCTCTTGTTGGCGATTACAACAATATTGTGAGGTCTACAAATCAGAATTATTTTGATCTCTACTGGATGTGGTTTTAAACACGGGGATACATGTAATATGGTATGGAATACCATGCATTTTCTCTCATACTTTGATTTGTCGTTATCTTTTGCGGCGTTGCCAAGGTGATTCAAATAATCTCGAAAAATTATACACATATGTGCATTCTGATATGCCTGCTGATTTTCGTTTTCGAAATTTCCATCGTGATAAGCTACAAGCCCTTCAATTTATGGTACCCAACACTGAAACACCTCGTATAGATGATAGAATATTTTCTTTGTGTGTTAAAAAAATTCGGAATGTTTCAGAATGTAGATGTTTTGTATCATTTTCAATTTTGTCACTTCCGGTTTTACTAGAAGTGATTTTTTTTTAAATTAGAGAGATGAATAAAATGAGGTGTAAGAACCATTATCAATAGATTTTTGATATTTTTTCAAGAATGAACATTGCAGAAGCTACTGATTGGGTTCGGCTAAACTTTGATCTTCAAAATTTTCTTTTTTTCGTTTCTTCCTCAGATAAAAATTCATTCGTTTCGTTTTGTTATCTGGTATTTTTTAACCTACTTCATTTATTGTTATGGAATCTCGGAAAAACCCTGTAGAGTATATTTCATATATTTTTTTTTATAAAATGCCATATTTTAATAATTTCAGACAAAAAATTGGATAACAAAAAAATCTATTTAGGTCGAATATCTACGTTTCTTACATACCGGGTGGCCCATCAAAGACGATCCACTCAAGTTTTCTCCGTTGTGTTGCAATTGATGAAAAATTGCTCGGACATTTCAATATGTCTACTTTTTCACCAACGTTAATCTGTTCCCGTGGTTGGTCACTCTGTATTTTTGCGATTCCAATTTCTCTCGGATCTTTTTATACCAATATACCTAATTGTATAAATGATTCTCTTATACATACCACGACATAAGGACCTGTATGGGTGTGTTTCGATCGACAAAAAGGTTAATTGTTAATTTGGTTCGAATTACTTTCATCGCATGGGTGAGAAATACTGCAGATTCGCTCTAGTTCTGTTCGATGCTCAGTGAATTGTAACCTTCGTTACATAAAAATATGCATGGTATGTATTCTTCGTCATCGATCAGCGGAAAGGATCTCTTGATTGGAATATACCAATCATCTATCTACAGGGTGTAGCATGCAGGATATCTTGTACAGGCTGTCCCATGTTCGATATCTCACCTATTTTTGAAGATAGAGATTCGCGGTTTTCGCGAACGTTGGCTAATTTTTTGTGAAACTCGTGATACCGCAAACAAAATTGTTATACCCCGCTACGTTTTTGAGATACAGGGCGAAATTGAAAATGTTGCATTTTAGGACCCTCTTTGTATCCCAGATATCTTTAGGAATAACAATGATAGGAAAAGTAAAAACTGTCATTTATACAGTTTTTCACATGGAATCCAGTGGCGTAGTCAGATTTTCAAAATAAGCTATTATTATTTAGATATAACCCAAAGTTATGTTTTTCTAAATGGAACAGCCTGTATATTTTTTCATATTTGAATTATTGATGCTTTGCGCTTTCCAAAAATGTATAACACTTATACGATATTTTGAGTATTAGCCTTGAATTTAGATAATTCAGAATTTTTTACTATATTTCTTATTGATCCGCCTTGTAAATTTTCATATCAACCCTGTTGCTGACAGAGTGTTTCGTCACACATTATTTTAAATTTTATTCATTATTTACCAGTATTCAGCACTATTTATTGACTATAAAAGCTGTGGACCTAATTAGTAGGTAGCTAGGAGAAAATACGCGAGTGCAGAATGTTTTTTCTCTACAGATACGACTCATTCGAAATGTTTCTTCTGAAGGCCGTCTGGGGTATTCTCGTCATAGCTCTCTTTCTACAATAGTGCTTCTGAACTTTTCTCTTTTTTTTGCGGAAGATGTTGTTGGCTTCACATTTTTGTATTACTCGCATCCCTGGCACCTATGAGTTCAATATCTTCAAATGGATTTATCTAACGTTGATTTTCTTTGTAATATATAGGTAGTTTCTGTATAGTTTTAGCAGTTGAAATCCACATCAATTCCACTGTTTAAACCTTCACCATTGTCCTTACTCATCCCATCCCCAATTTTTCAGGATTTCGGCGATCAGGAGAATTTGGATATTCACACAAAATGTAGCTTTCCTGCTGCTGGCAACAAAACATGAATTGTATCAGACAGACTCTTTATTTTTCTTGGTATTTCCTGGTATTGATTCGCTTACATAATTACTGATTTCTGTGATGGAAGTTGACGCAAAACGAGAAATTTCAATTTTTGAGTGACTGATATATTTCAATCTTTGACATTCAATATATCACTCTTATGCTATTGATCAGAATAGCCGCTCATATTGTTTGTTTATCCATTGTCGTTCTAGATGACAATCTGAATAGTTAGGTAGTTAGTAGGCAAGAGCTATAATTTGTGTTGTGATATTTTATTACCTCCTCGCACTAGGTCGCCTACTAGGTTTCCATTTAGATCGACAATGGTTCACCTAAATAGCCGCTGATATCGCATATCATGTGACATCAATCATGAAGTTTCATAGGTGCAGCCTGGTGTGAATGAAATAATCTGGATTATTCCGAGCATCGTGATATTACTTACAGTTGGAGAGATAGCGAAATTTTTTTGTACACATTTTTTGATAAAGAATAATTTCATTATTTTCGTGTCATATTAACGCCTTCTAGACATAAAATCAACTCCTGCCGGAGCACCATCGGGACAACGCTTATCAGCAGCTTATCTATGTTGTCAAAAAAACGAGTGAATGCCTAACAAGATAAAAGCTGGAACTTAACCTATCATTTAATGACATATCAGTAAGAAAAAAAATCACCTGTCACCTGTTTCGTAGAACGATGTACTCCTGCCATGGACCTAATGATGCGGAAAAAAAAATGTCCCAGAACAACGTACCATCGAAATCATCTTATCTCTATACGAAAATGCATCGTTGAGCCGCGAGAGGGCACTGAACAATAATTTCATTTTTCTACTATTATAACTAAAATAGCATTTAGCGTACGGATGTGTACCACGATAAATGTGATTTATTCAAAATATTGAACACGTTACCATGGCAACACAATTTCTTGAACACATAACCATGGCAAAAGAGTTCTTTAAACACACCTTCAGTCGTTCGAGTCCTGTCCTGCCTCTCAATTGTAGGATCTATCAACTGTCATTTTAGAATTTCGTTGCAATCAGAATTATTCACACAATTTTTATTTGTATTAGAATTCTTCACAAAAAATGTATGCGAAATGTAGACGAAAATAAAATCGACCTACCTACTTGTATATTTCCAAGAATTCTAGGTTAAAATGAAGATCTCATCTTTATGAGCAATTCATTCAATGCTGAGCATGACAATAAACGTAAAACACCATATTTATGTGAGCAAAATTATGCCAAATATAGATACAAACCTGAGAAATCGAAAACTTTGACACCTCAGCGAATCGATGAGTTTTCATCTACTACGTCAGATGAAATCTCATTCACAAAGGTAAGTAAATAAGCCATTTCAATAGAAATTCATGTGATAAACTCGACGCACATCTACAACCAAAATAACTCATACGTGACTTGTTGATTGCATGCAGTTGCAAAGTATTATGTATCATATTCTCAATTCCCATTCCCTTCGAATTATTTTGCAGGTTTACAGGTAGGTTAATCTAATTTTCGAAATTATGGGATCTTGTCGATGAGAGGAATTATGAGTTCGTAGAAAAAGTATAGTATTTAACGCGTTTATAAACTCTTCTAGACACTCGTTTATTGAACATTCGCTCCGCTCTGCTACGCTCGTGCTTAAAATACTCGTTACTAAAATGACGTTTGTAACACTAGTTACATAATAGGGCAGGAAGAAAATATTACAGTCAACTCCACCAAAACTATACTTTATTTAAAATTGGAATTGGGACATGTTTCGAAGCTCCAAAGCTTCATCATCAGCAAAAATTATTTGTTACCGGAAGTACTACAATAAGAAAGACAAAAAGCTACGTCAGACAAGCATTCAGATAATGAAAGTCAAACAATCCTCACCTGTTCTGGGGAAAATATTTCACATGGTGAAAAATCGAAAATTGCCACTCTGCTGACAGATGGCACCACCTGAATACTTGTGTGGAAACCCACCAGTCCTATTCACTGGACTATATCACTTCTTTGAAATGGGTGAGAGACCGACAGAAGCCTGGTGTGCCGAAACAGTACTGTCTCGCTCCTGCTGTTAATTGGGGCAACTCTGTTCATCCTAGATCTCTTAGTTATGAGATCTAGTTTTTTGTTCTGGTTCCCACGAAAAGGGATATCATGTAATGTTCAGAGAACATCGTAAGAACCAAGGGAAATAAGGTAGGAATTGGTGTTCTCCTTAAATTTCTGGAGGTTATATGCCTCGAAGAACACCTCCCATGGCAATGTGTTCCAGAGCCTCGCTGTTCGTTGAATGAACGAGTCTTT